TACATGAGTTGCTGTGGACTTGTTTCTCTAAAGTACCTAGACTATTACACTCTCTCAGTAGGGGATGATCAGAATTGTCTGCAGACATTGCCAATGGCCCCTGGGGTATATAACATTGCTCCCCACTGAGAACTACAGCACCGTGGACAGCAAGCCAGCCAAGGGCCACACATGGGGGCCCCCCAGATCAGGGACCAAATCCATGTATGCACTGGTCTCCTCCCAGCAGGCACCAGGCAATGGGAGAGACAGGCGACAATAAGCTACATTGGCTGAACGAATGACTCACCTTCCTCAGCACTTTCATGGCATATATTTTGCCCGTGTTGCTGCCTTGCACCTTTCTCACCTGGAACACCTGTAGGGCAAGGGAGACCGGATTAACTTCCCTCCGGAAGCCCCACCCTGAAGCTCCAGGGTGGGGTAGGCGAGATTTCCAGGTTCTGCGAGGATGGTCCTTCCCTCCATCCTTTCTATCTCCAGATTCCGCCCGTGGCTCTGCTGATTGCCAAGAACCCTTCGCTGAGTGCAGGGAGGTCGGGGATGGGGGCAGAGAGGGGGGTACCTTGCCATAGCCGCCCTTGCCCAGGACACGCAGCAGCTCAAAGCAGTGGGGCCCGATGCGCTCGGGACCCAGGTTGACGCTGGTCTCTGTCAGCTCCATCTCCTCGTAGTGCCCCACAGGCCTGTGGATACAGACGTGAATGGGGGCAGGGCTCCAGGACGCAGGGGTCCCTTCTCCACTCCACCTCCCTCCCCCAACGCGACCCTCACTCACTCCAGGCCAGCCGACCTCAACTCGGCAAGGGGACACACGTCCTGTGAGAAACCGAGGGGTGAGCGCCATGGGACGTGCCAGGAAGCCGCTGCCCGCCCCCAGCTCAACCGCTTGGCCCGGGAGGCACACGGAGGTCGGGCAGGGGAGACAGCAGGGCTGGGGGCAGGAGAGGCAGAATCGGGGGACAGGGGCGGGGAGAGGTGAGGGCGGGGTGGACGGGGGCCGGGCCTGACAAGAAGTCGGGTCTGCGCGGATCTGAGCCCACTCCGGGGGCGGGGCCCGGCGGGGAACTCACCGCGGGGCCAAGCTCTAGCTCACCCTCGCCCTCGCTGCCCTCCTCGGTCTCCAGGTCCAGGTCGAACACGGCTGCCATGGCGGGACCGGCCCCGCGGGCCCCCTGGGGCCGTACCTGGCGGCCCTCGGACTGACAGGCAGGCACTCTGCAGACGTCATCATCCTGCGGCGGCGGCCGTCGCACACCCGGATGACGCACGCAAAGCGTCACCCTCCCGCGAACAGGTTGGCGTTCTTCGCAATGTCTTTCGGGAGTTGTAGTTCCGGAGCTCCGCGGAGGCCAGTCTCCAGGGTGGGGAGATTCCTCTCGGCACGGCTCCCGCGGGTCCCCACCACCCTGGGGCACCCTTGGCTGTGAAGAGAAATCGAGTCTGGATGAGGCTCGGTCGGAAATGCAAACGTGCGGGCGGGACGGGATTGTCGACTGGCCTCCAGCCCTGGTCCAGCCTATGTGTGGCCAGCCTGGCTGGGTGGTGAGAAAAGCGGGGTCCCGTCCCCTTTCCTACTTACTCGCCCCTGAAAAGGTGGCGGCTCCCTAACTACCATGAGAACTCTGCAGTGAGAACATTACCGGATGACTGCTCCGTGCCCTACGCCCTCCCAGGCTCGGTTGCCCAGTTCCTTCGTGTCCACTGGATCACCCCAGATCAATCAGGGCTTGCGCTGCAGTTTGTCCTCTTGTCGACTGGGAAGCATTCAGTGAGTCGATCACCTCGTACTTGATTCAAAATCCAACTCTTTTGCCGCGGTGACCCCACGTGTTGCACTCGTAAACCTTGGGCTTCTCCGCCAGGGTGGTGCGGTGGGTTAAGCGTTAGGCGGGGGCGGGGTGGGGGAAGGGAAGGCGTGGCCATTGACATAGGTCAACATTTACAGCATTAGAAACTATGAAGTCCCCGTTCTACTTGGTCCCACTGAAGCACTTACTGATAAAGATCAAAGATCACACCTTCAGAATAAATTCCTCCTTGGTGCAAAGAAAACAAATGTTCTTAAACAACATCTGGATACCTGGGGCGAAGATCAAAGTAAAAGGGTTTCACTTTACTTGAATCCATGATCAAGGCCCCTGGAGGCCGCAATCAAGAAATCAATCAATGTGTATGGATTGTGATAAGAGCTGTAAGAGCCCCCAGTAAAATGATTTATTTTAGAATGGAAGAAAGCAACCAAGCAATGCAGTGCATTGGGCAAACCTGAATCTGCTGTCGCACGACCTCTTTCAGGTGCGAGGGAACAAAGACATCACTTTGAGGAGCACGGTGCACCTGATCGGAGCCAAAATATTCCCAGTGGTCTCGGATGCAGGTTCATGCTGGGCAAAGAATAAGAAAGACCGTAGACGAATCCATGCCTTGGGGTGATGATGTCGGTGAAGAAGATTGAATACACAAATTAATCTGTCTTCGAAAAGACGCAAACCAGAAGGCTCCTTAGGAGTGAAGATGGTGAGACTTTGCTTAGTGGACTTTGAATGTGTTATCAAAAGGGCTGGTGAAAAGAGGAAGACCTTCAAGATGAATTGACCCCGTGGCTGCAAAATAGCAATGGTTGTGAGAATAGATGTGGGGTACAGAGAGATTTCTCCCAAGTTGTCTCCCCCAAATATATGCCAAGCCCAAGACGCTGCTTGCTACACATGGTAAATGACTGACTGTACATTAGGAGGTCAACGCAAGCAGGTCAGAGATTATTCTCCTTAAGGTTATCTAGAGCAACCAGACTGTATAATCTGACTCACCCTATGTAGGTCCACTTCCTTCTGATATTGTTCCCATGAAGGAGTGCCCAAAGGCAAGGCTCGGACCACTCAAGGATGACTAAGGTTAAGCTACTATATTGAGTCTAGGGTCCACCCATCTTGCCACATATGTATCCCTATTCCTTCCCTTTGCTATTGTGTGTACACCCCTAGGTCACACCCCTCATATTGCTCATATTGCCTGTGTTACAACCCCTTCCTATGATGTACATTGTTATCTATAATCAGGGGACTTGCATGCCCCCAAAGATATATAAGCTTTGGTTAGAAATAAAACCCCTTGAGAGCTCTCTCCTGCCTTCTCGTCTCCCACCTCCATGTGGACCACCAAGAGGAGCTGAGGTGAGCATGCTACCATGAAATGTGTCTAACTTCTTCATTTTACTCTCTCTCTCCCATCTCTCCTATTTCTCTACGCTATGACTATAATCTTTATGTATCTTAACCGTACAATTGCGCCTACCGAACCCGTGATTAGTTGTAGGGACTGGCTTCCCCCACAAATAGAAAGAGACCAGTCAGTGTTTCCTTCTGTTGCACATAGAGTGACTGCGTCCGAACCCAAAGGTGGCACTGACATCAACATGAGGCCCATCAACTCAACAAGAGTGAGTAATCTTTGGAGGCTGATTATCAGGTTTTTCTGACTCCACTGGGTGGATTCAAACCATCAAATATTGGCACTGACTATTAACCCAAGAAGATAAACACCAGGCCTGTTTCCATCCATCTCATTTCACGCCAGAGTTGAGGCTGACTCACGGTGACCCAATAGGACAGGCTAGAGCCGCTCCTGTGAGTGCCCAAGACTGTAACTCTTTATAGGAGTAGAAGGTCCTGTCTTTCTCCTACCTAGTGACCGATCATTTTGAACTTCTGACCTTGTGGATCGTAGCCCAACCCGTAAGCACTGGCTTCTAACGCACACTGACCCGATACAACAGAACAGACCGCCCCTTAGGGTTCCCAAGGCTGTGAATCTTCACGGAAGCTGACTGCCGTCTCTCTCAGAATGGCTGGTGGGTTCTCCACCCTTTGGGTTAGCAGATGAATACTTAACCATCGCTCCTTGGTATACCATCTTATCATCTGACTGGTTCTGACTCACAAAACAAAACAGACACTGCCTGAGCCCCGCCCCATCCTCACAATCACTGTTTGAGCCTGTTGTTGCAACCCCTGTGCCGGTCCATCGCGTTGACGGTCTTCCTCTTCAGAGGAACTTCTTCTTCATCAAGGCTGATTCCCCTCTTTGGGTCCCCACCCCCATAACATGTTGCAGCTATGTGAGACAAAATCCTCGCTTCCAAGGAGCATTCTGGCTGAACTTCTTCCAAGACGTAACGTGTAATAGCAGCTTAGTCAACCTTCGTTGCACATAGGAACAAGTGAACACACCAACCCTCACCTGTGGCTTTACATCTGGCCCTGGATTCTTGCTGGACGAGCTCCCTGGGGGTGAATTGGGGCCAGAATGCTGAGCAGGAGTTCTGGGGGTTGGAAGCATTCGGAGGGGATGAGGAGGCCCGAGGATAATCAGATGAGTCGGGTGTCCCCAGGCTCTCAGAGTTATCTGGGTTCGTGTGGCTCACAGGACGTTTCTGGTGCAGCTGTAGGGTGGCCGGAGACCTGGTTGGTGCTGTAGTGTGTCCTTGGTTCCCTATGCCGCTAGCACCCCTGGCCACGTCCCTGCACCCCTAGCCTTTCACTGAACCTGGAGGCATTGTCACCTACCCCAAATGACTTTTGACACATCACTAGTCCATCAGCCTTTATTGGGGTGCGGGAAAGGTGGTGTGGAATGCCCATGGGACTGTTCATCACAGCTTCTGTGCTGCCTGGAGACGGGCGTTGACCGCGGCCTCTCTGCATCCGGGGTGCACACTGCGGTGGGCGATGAATTCCCCCATGTTCGTTAGCCATGCCCGCGGCTCAGGTGGGACAGGACAGGTGTTCGTGTGTCTCGGGGTGACATATGAACGTGGGGAGCTGGCCCGGAGCTGAGTAGGCGTGTATGACTTACAACAGAAACCCCGCCCCTCTGTCCACTGTGATGTGACCTGCAGCCAATTGTTTCACTTTTCTGAGCCCGTTCCCCCGTGGAGGTATGAGAGGAGAGATGACTGCTGGGCTGGGGTCACCTGCATCCACTGCCCAGGCCAAGGGAGGCAGGTGAACCCTGCCAGAGGGCATGACCAGCAGGTCCAAGAACTATCCTGGGATCTGTTCACTAAGAGGGCAGGGGGTGAGTTGAAGGTTTTCGGGGGACCCAGACGGGGTGAGAGGAAGAAGAGACTCAGAGGCCTTGGGGGAGGGCCAGGGTTAGGGCCAGGGGTTAGTGAGGTGCGGCGGTTTGGACCTCTTCAAGACCTGAATGCTGGGTCTGCTGTGGGCTCTGGGAGGACAGGAGGGTCCCGTGGCCTCTCCAGTCCACATCCTTTTGTGTCGTGGCTCAGGAGCGCTTGGAAGTGACGTGGCCGTGCTGATGAGGAATAGATCTGAGGCCTTGAAGAGGGTCAAGCCAGGGGGCAAGTTGATGAAGAGAGAGGCAGGGGGAGCCTCTGCCCAGGAGCAGAGGGCACCACAGTCCTCTCCCCGCAATCGGTCCCCCTCCCCAAGCAGGCGCCCAGTGTTATTTGAAGTGGGACAGGAAGTGGGCCACTGGGTAGTGGGGCGCGTCGATGCCCAGGCCCTGGCAGAGGCCCAGCAGGCGGCAGCGCGCGGCTGCAGGGCTGGGCCCGGCACAGGCCACGCTGCAGTAGGGCTCCTCATACTTGCCGGGCATGAGGGCTTCCTCCAGCATGTTGAGGCGCAGCACACCCCGCTCATGCAGGGCCTGCAGGGCCTCCTGGCTGGCGCTGGAGCTCAGCGCCTGCAGGTGCTGGGACACCAGACACATGACACCCACCAGGTGGCCGCGGGCTCGAGGGTGGGCGGGCAGGGCGGGCCGCAGACCACAGGCCACCATGGCGGCTGCCAGCAGCAGGTCCACACCATAGAGCTCCAGGATCCAGTCCCGCAGGTAGAAGCCACCCATGCGGGGGTTGATCTCGATCAGTCGTGGGCCGGCTCCGGTCAGCTTGAGCTCCACGTTAAAAACCCCGTCCAGCAGCCCGCAGCCCAGGCAGCAGCGGAAGGCTGCCTGCACCAGCTGCGCCTCCTGCTCCGGTGCCAGCCCCGTCGGCATGCAGGCTGCCGTCTCCGTGAAGCCCGGCAGCCGTGTGGGGCCGTTGTCGGAGACGAAGGCGGCCAGCAGCTGGCCGCCAAAGAGCACCAAGTCCACGTCATGCTCTGTGCCCTCCACGAACTCCATCAGCAGCATGGCGTTGCCCCAGCCCAGCCCAATGCCCGGGTGGTCCGCCTCGCCCTGCAGGTCGTGGGCGATCCGGGCAAAGTGCTCGTGGCACTGTGGTGCATCCTCCACCAGCCTTACGCCCACCGCGCCTGCCCCAAACTCCAGCTTCATGACACCGGGCAGGGGCACCTGGCGGACGGCCCGCTGCACATCTGATTCGCTCTCCAGCGGGCAGCAGGGCACGGCGTGCAGGGCGGGCGCCGGCCAGGGCGGGCCTCGTTGGCCCAGCAGGTGCAGCTGGGTGCGGCTCTTCTGCTTGGCCAGGCGCATTGCAGCGGGCGGGCTGCAGGGCAGCCCCAGCTCCTGGCACAGCAGGGCTGTGAGCACCAAGCAGTCATCCCAGTAGGAGAAGCAGCCGTCCAGTTGCAGGCCACGGGCCCGCACGAGGTCGGCAAGCAGCAGAGCGTTCTCCTCATCCCGGCGGTGCTCCGTCACGTCGAAGTGGATGAAGGTGTGCACCAGCTGGGAGGCGAAGTGCGTGGGGTTCGACTCCACTAGGTGCAGCTACAGAAGGCACAGGAGGGGGTGCTCGCTCAGGGCCTCCAGGTGGGAAGGGAGGCGGCCTGGGATCTTTCCTGCCTTCTCCTGGGACCCAGCACACTGCCTGGTACCTAATGAAACTCCCTGCCATCGAGTTGATGCTGACTCACAGCCATGCTGTAGGGCAGCACAGAACTGCGCCCTCTGGGTTTCCGAGAGCAGACAGCCTCCTCTTTCTCCCGAGGAGCTGCTGGTGGTTTCAAACTGCTGACCTTGTGGATCGCAGCCTACTGCATAACCACTGCACCACCAGGGCTCCTCAGCACGAAATAGGTGCTCATTAAATATTTACAGAGGCTGGAATAAAGATAAGGTGCAGAGATGGACAAGGGCCATCCTGGAGGGGTGCAGGGCCTGCTGGGAGCTGATGAATTCCCCGCCAGCCCCGAAGAGGGGCAGAAGCAGTGACTGGCAAGGTTGGCCGAGGGAGAGGGCCAGATAGGCCTACAACCTGGGGGGTGGGGGGTGGCCAGAAACCACCAGGCCTCGGACTCAGGACAGGGCATTTGGTCCCTTTGGGTCATGCTCTTGGTTGTCATTTGCATGCACAGATTCTGGGACAGTGGTGTCACTAGGCTGGTTTCACTCAGGGCAGTAACTCACCGGGTGTCATGCCCTGGCTGGAGAAAGTGAGCAGCCTGGTCCATGGTCCCAGCCCCGCCCTGCCCCCCAGCCTCCCGCAGCTCCTGCCCTCTGCCATTGGCCCAGGTGGAGACCTTCCCCTTTGCTTAAAGGCTGGACGCCCGCACCCTGACCACCAAGCATGTGATGAGTTACCGAGTTCCGTGCAGTGAGTGACAACCACCCCAGGGATGCCACTGGCCTGGAGGCCCTCCCCATCTGTGGCCCATGCCTCGGCTCTGGGGTCATCTTGTCACCCTCTGCCTCCACCCCACCCCACTGTCAGGGTGCAGTCCACACCAGTACAGTGGCAATTCCCGAGGAAGGAGGGAAGGTGGCTGGATGCCCCGGGGCTATAATATGATGTAACTGTGGAGTGACGTTTCAAGGGATAACTTTGGTGTGAAGCAAGGGGCCAAGGGGCAGGGAGACACCGGATGGGTTGGGGGCGGGGGGAGGGAGGGGTCAGAGGATGCCACCACTGTAGGAGATAAGAGCCAGCAAAGAAAAGGCTAGACCCTGGGTCTCAGTGTCCCCATCTGTCCAATGGGGACACGAATGTCCCACCTGCATGTCTAAAGGTTCGGCAAAGGGAGGCTACCGCGGTGA